TACTACCTGCCTTTTCGACTTTACCAAGGATATCGTCTCACGTCGTATTCTCTCGTCGTGCAGTGTTTCGGGAGTGAGAAATTGAGTGGCGAAATTTTTTGGCCGTGGGAAAAGGAAGAGAACGTATCGACCGGTGTACTTCTACGTGATCTACGTATACGTAGAAAAATCGTGGGCAAATCGATCGACACGTGTCCTCTGTACTCTAAGCGGCGCGTAAGTTCGAACCGCGGTGAGAGATGCAGGCGCATATATATATATATATAAATAGAGGAGGGGGGAGTTTAGAGAAACGCAAGAAGGCGAAGCGTGCAACGACGTTGTGGACCGTTCGAGAATGTTCTCCAAATGCCTGCGTCGCGGCTCGGTGCCAGCCGTTCGTACGAAACGCGAAGGGGGAAAACGCGTTTGCCGCGTTACGCGCGATTCCATTAGAGGCAGCCACCATTAAACCAATTATATATTCGCGAGTCTTCCATTCACCGCGTATAGAACGCGTATCGTGCCGATCGTGTGCAATACGGTAGACAGGCCGTTTTTACCAGTCTAACGTGCGCGTAGACGTTTTACGTAATCCATCTAAGCTCATATACCTACTATCGTGCAACTATCATAGCATAGCCAGATGGAGAGAGAGAGAGAGAGAAAGAGAGAGATTGGTCATAGCCAATAAAAAATGAGAGGCGAAAAGGAAAAAAGACACGCGAACCGGATGATCCCACTTATCCTCGTCATCGGCTTGTTACCGGCGGCTCACCTGCGCGTCACCTGTGCGTCATCGCGCAGGTAGCCGGTGAACATCCGCGGAGAAGAGGTCGACGGTAGAGATGGCGGGTTAAACGAGTCAACAGTGCATTGGCGGAGAGATATCGAAACTAGAGAGCCGGCTAGACGAGATACTCACTTTGTCGGAGCTCTCGGGTAGAGAGGACAGCGTATCTGAAGGGGGTAATCTCGCGCGTATCTCGCAGGATCGGAATTGAAGGAAGCCTCGGTGCATACGGAGAGAAAGAAGAGAGAGGAGGGAGAGAGGGAGATAGAAACGAAGAAAGAGTGAGAGAGAGAGAGAGAGAGAAAAGAGCGAGAAAGTCGATATATTCTCTGGAAGATGGATCGACGTCGATGTCGGTGTGATGCCGGTGGCTGGAAACGGTTGGACGGTTTGCTGCCGGTGCGCTTGTGTAGACGTGTACGTACGTGGAGAGCAGTAGAAGAAAGGTGGTAGAGAAACGGTGGTAGGTGGTAGGTCGAAGGGTGCTGGTGGGGTGGGGTGGCTAGGGGGGAGGGGGCCAACTACAAACTACTGAGCGTCCCTCCTGTGTTCCGGATCACATCTCCACGGATGATAGTGTCACCACCTTCGCGATGGATCGACCCGTTCCAAGCGTGAATCTCTCGCGGTTTCGAACAGTTCGAGGCCTTTTTTTCGGGAACAGGGGCTACCCTGTCGCGGGTCGCCCTTTTCTCTTTCTTTCTTGCTTTCTTTCTTTTTCTTTTTTTTTTTTTGTTTGTTTCTCCTTTGTATTTATATCACGACACGCACGGTTCGACACACGATGAGTTATCGTTTCTTCTTCCTCTTCTTCCTCTTCTTCTTCTTCCTCTTCTTTTTCTTCTTCTTCTTTTTCTTCTTCTTCTTCCTCCTCCTCTTCCTCTTCTTCTTCTTCCTCCTCCTCTTCTTCTCCTTCTTTCTGTCCGTTTTCGCGCGGTCCCAGGCACGCAAAGTTCGCGTTCGAGATTTTCCTCCGACTGGGATTCGACGAGTGAGACGGACAACGAGACAAAGAAGCGGCCGTGTAACTCACAAAATTCACTCCGCGCACCTCATTATCCTCGTTTCTGGTCCATTCCTCGACCGCGTTCCGCTTAGCAGCCAGTCACCAAGCGCTATCGTTCCTTTCGCGCACACCCCTCTTTTCGACGAGTCACGAGGATCCGGAGTCACGGGAACGGTTTTTCCAAACCGGATCGTCTGTCCACGATCTTCGCACTTGCACACCGGCTTCAGGCACACGCGCACGCTCGCGCGGACCGCGGCTGCGACGACGACGATGACGACGACGACGGGTGCGACGACGGGTGCCGCGACAACAACGACGGTGAGGAACGCGACGGCGACGCGGTGGACGCGGTGAACGGCGACGTGGTGTACGGGAAGCACATCGACGACATCGTCGCCGTGGATCGCGGACGCGAGCGTACTATACTCCGGCGCGACAGATCGAGCGACGTCCGGTGCGTGTCGAAGCCGCGCGAGACTCTCGTAACGAGCTCTCTCTCTCTCGTTTTCTCCTCTGCTCTCGTTGCTTCTCGCGCGCTGTTCGCCGAGCGAACTCGAGGGTGGAACGGATGCACTACACCCCGAACTGTGCGGCCCAACAGGTAGAATTAAACCACCCAAAGTTTGGGCAGCCGCTGCAAGCAACAAACGAAGCAGCCTCACGAAGGTGCTCTCTCGGATCGTTCTCTCTTCTCTCGGGATACGGCAACATGGCCGCCGTCGCCGCCGCCTCCCAGCATCCCGCTCTCGGCTCCGTGTCTCGGCCTCCCCCCCCTCCCCTCCCCTCCTCCTCGTGTCTCTCTCTCTCTCTCTCTCTCTCTCCTTCGACACACACGTCCCCGACAAAACCGCCTGCCTCGCCTCTCTTTATCCCTCGACCGTGCGTTTTCACGGCACACACGCACGCGCGCACACACGCTCTTTCTCTCTCTCTTCCTCCCTCGCTCCCGAATCTCCTTCGCCGCCTCTCTCTCTTTCTCTCTCGCTCTCTCCGTCCTCTTACCTGGCCACCCTACGACGCCTCCCCATTTCGGATCTTTCTCCTTTCATCGCTCCTTCCTTCTCCGACTCTCGAGTCTCTCCTCTCCGTCCGACCTCCCGCTCCCTCTCGTCGCCTCTACCTGTGGCGTTCTCTCGACCGTACTCCCACTCCTCTCTCGCTTGGAAGAGAATCCAAGCAATAGGTACTACTACGCCACCAGGCGTACCAAGGAGTGGTGGCGAGCAGAGAGAGAGAGAGAGAGCCTTCGGCCCGATATACCTTCGTCCCCCTTCCTCTTCGACCGCTTATCCTTCTCCCTCCGCGTTTCTCTCCTCTTCTCGCCCGATCGGCGAGATCCGTGCAGGCGAGAGGGAGAAGGAGAAACGGGCCGCGAAACAAGGACGAAGGAGCGGCGTAGGGGAGGGGGTGGAGGGCAAGAGGGTAGGAAGAGGATAGCCGGCGCGCAGGTAGCCAACATCGGACGAGGAGGGCGCGAGTATGGCCGATCGTTGGCGGGACAGAGACGGGAAGAGCGTCTCTTCCACGACGGCGACCTGTGCACGGACACAAACAGAGCATCGAGTCATCGACGAGGCAGCCGGGGCTCTTGGCCACCCGGCATTATCGTGTCTCCGGGCCTGTCTCTGTCCCTCTTGCGCGTCTCGCGCGTCTTCCTCTGGCCTGCTACCTTGACAAGGATACCCGCCTCCCGGGAGGGACGAAGACGTGGAAAACGTTGGGACTCGAACGTTATCGTCCACATCCACGCGTCCTCGTCCCTCGCCATGGGGCAACCGTTCCGTCCCTCTTTGTCCGTCTCCCGCTACCTTGAGAAGGATATTCCCGGGAGTTGGCCACACCGTCCACACTACACCACGCCGAGTCGAGTCGAGTCGAGTCGAATCGAATCGAGTCGACTCGAGTCGAGTCGAGACGAGACGAGACGAGGAGATGGAGAGAGAGAGAGAGAGAGGAGGG